TAAACATTACTCTTCTGAATGAAATTTGACGTCTAAAGTCGAGTCAGTGCTAGTGGAAAAAGAGGCTTTGCACACATTTTTCAGCTTTGACCACAAGCTTTACTTTTTAACCCTTTACTATGACAACCAATTTTACAAATGTGCTAAAATATAACCATTCACCATCCACTTCAATAACTGATAAAATGGTTCATGGTTTATTTAAAAGTGCTTTTAAAAAGCTTGAAAACAGCCAGAATGGGAAAATAGTTTGTACTTATTAGAGTGTAAGACCACAGGTCACCTTCTGACGAACTTGAACGACGGCCTTCCAGAAGTCTTTGGCCTCCACACGGTGGCAGTCGTCACACATCTGGGACTGGATGACAAACTCGACCACAAATACCTGTTGTAGGATGGCGCCATTCATCACCTGGAGAAGACAACAACAAGTCACACCATATGCTCCAACTCCATGGGAAATGATGACAAAAACAAGCTGTTCAGGCAGAGCATATTTGAATTGTTATGCTTGAATTTTTATGTGAACAGGGAGAACTGCTGGCAGAATTATAAAGACCCTCCAACTGCACAAAACAAAAAAAACACAAGGCTCAGGTTCTCACTAAAGGTCAAGGAGATGCGATGACAGCCAATGGCGAGGCTCGCTACTCTCACTTAACTCTCTGAAGAACAGACAGATCGCTTGTTCTTCTGATAAAACAACCTCAGGGTCACTTTGTAGTGGATGCACGTCCTACAACTTGTCACCACTTTTTATGAATATTCTTAAGATTATAAAAAAATTAAAAGATTTTGTTTTAAACTTTCTGGACAAAAAGCACCTTGCTCATCTCATATTGTTAATTACAAATAGAATTTTCCCACACGTAGAAACGTCCCCCTGTTTTCTAACCTCTTTCTGGATGGTCAGTTTCATCTTAATCCTTTTGGAGTGCGGCTCTGTCCACAGGAATCCAGCATCGATAAGTCGCACCTGTGAAGAGAGATGTTTTAGATCTGCGAGCACTGTCTGAGTATTGAGAAGTACAATAGTGAACGTGGTGCACATCATAATAAAAAAAGAGATAGATGGGAAGGATGCTGTAATGTAATAATGTATCACAGAGTACCTGCACAGAACATTAAACTAGAAGGGTTTTAAGAGGACAACATTAAGGTTTTGATTAAACTTTACTGTCATTAAAAATGTAATATATACTTAAGGATATGAATTCTTAGCTTGCATATGTCTAAGATGGTCCCTCTCCTCACACAACCCAAAAACACAACAAAAAGAAAATGTGCTCAATAAAAAGGCAGGACTGAAACAAGCAGCTTGTGAATCTAATGTTACAAACTGGCACTGGACACCCCCTTATATTTAATTTATTCTAGAAAATTTTCACTTATGTAGAAATATGCTATTCGTCTTTAGTGACACTGAGTAAGAAAGAGGCTTACTTTAGACATGGAGCTCTTTAGTTTTTTCAAGCAAAGAGCAAGCAGCTCCCTGGACTCCAGAGCACACTGTACCCAGGTCGCTGGAGGCTGCAAGTACCTGCGTAAAAGAGGAAATGCATTTAAATAAAAACACACCGTTCTGACTGCTACATTTCACCTGTAAATGCCTTCTAAAGAGAAACAGTAATATAATGGGTGCACTGCAGTGTACAAAACAAATACAACTGTTATGTGTTTGTTATTAAATGCATGAAACGCACCGTTCACACTGCTTGCAGAAATGCACTGTGACTTGCTTGGGGATTCCCTCTGAGATGTCGACCTGAGTGCGCAGGCAGGCCACACACATGTTAGCTGGGTTAGGAGCAATGGGGACACCACAGGTACAGCAGAGGCTGGAGGGGAGAGACGCCAAAGTCAATGAAACACGAATAAATGATGGGTTGTTTCAGACCCTTTTGTTGATGATATATATTTATATAATAGGTTTCAGCCTCTTCACTAAAGACAGCATGTATATTACAATACAATGGGAGATTTTACAAAGCAGGTCGCAGCTTATGTTGTCGCGTTTTTCCCATATTTTTCTCATCACCTGAGCATTTTCTGAAAATAAACAGTCACGACGTTCACTTTACTTGATGACATAATTCATCTCAGTGGTTCTGGCAAAACTACACTTATGCCATGTAGTGATATTACCCCTGAAAGTTAACCAAAAATGCACTTTTTGATTTTTTTCCCCAGTGAATTATAACAAAGCAGATCAAACATCCAGAGTACCAGTGCTTCTTCCCATTACGTTACATTACAAACATGACCACTGGTGCAGTTTTGCTATTGAAGCCATGACTATACTGCTGCTCAAAGTTGATTACTAAAACAAATATACAAATATATACAAATATAATATACAAATATTTTGGTTGATTTGCTTGCAGTTTTAAAACAGAGCTTACATGTGTCCAGCCCTAAATTTTTCATGTGTCTATCGACTGTACTTATGTTATAACATTACAATGTTATGAGGGCTCAAAAATGCTGGAAGCCCAACATTTCAAACCACCCTGAATGTATAGACTTTGCATATGATGGGGGGCCAAATCCACTTGAGTAATGGACACTTGAAAGAAACAAAAAAAAATTTTCATTCCATTTCCTGCTGATTGAGTAAATATTACAAGTTGTACTACATAAAGAATAATATCATTAGATGTCTAACCTGAATAGAACAAAATCCTGTAGTTTCCATATGGCACTCAAATTATAAGTGAGAAAATAACTTTGTTTAAGAATTGCATATTTCTTTATCCCCAAATCACAGATTCTGGTTCACTTTTATAGTATGGGACGCCAAGGAAAATGTCAAGCTTTTATCTTTAATAGTTTTTAAAGATATTTACATTGAAATGTTACCATGGTCGAGCAGAAAACTTTATGACTCAGGCTGCTGCTGCTATGTAGTTGATTATTCTGCTTGCTGATAGATAGCAAGCCAAATATCGGTCAATATATCCTGTGTCCTTGCCTCCTATTGGTAGTTTAATACCACCATTAAATGAAATATAGGCTTTATAGTTAGAGGCAGAGATGCTATCCACAGTCTGGAGAACGAGCTTTGCTGTTAAAACTCACACAGTGCTAAAGGGCTGCACTTACATGTTCCCCTGGCTGCTTGAGGCAGGAGCCTGCATGTACTCCATCCTTGCCAAGCTGAGTGGGTCTCAGGTGGTCCAGTTATCTCTGAGGACACAAACATGACAGATGTAAAGTGGCCCTGTCAACGCTGAAGCACAACACAGGCGACTGGGAAAAGAAAGGGTTAATAAACGTTAACCCAGACAGGCTTATTTCGTTTCCAAGCGTTCATTTAGAAACGGAGATACAGATATCTAAACAACGCTAAAGCTGCCCAAAGTACAGTTAGCACTGCTAGCCTGGCTGATGCTCTTGATACAGTGTGTTAGCACTGGAGGCTAAACTGCTAACTCTTCTGAGTGATTCTCAAAAGTTTTCGCGGAGAAACAAACACACAGAGTCGACTGAAAGTATTCAGTAACTACAGCTAAAGCGACCGAGTGTTGACAAAACTTACTGATCTTATTTTGATGAGAAATCAACAGCACACAGTAAACGAGGTAGCCCCACGTTTTACCCACAGAGGACCGAGAGAGGCTCGATGGCGTCAGGCAGGACTCAAGGACCCCGGGACTGTCTTTGTTTGCCTGAATACATTTCCTCATAAAAATTTAAATCAAATAAAAATGCCACTTAAATACCAAATAGATAAGAAATTATTACTTGTTTTTCCAATTTAAATCTTGTATTAGATAATCTGAAACGCTGATGGTGGTATATATAATCAATCAATCAAATAAAAGGTATAGTAAAAGTATAAGATTATTACCAGAAGCGTTTTAGGCAATTAGTTAAAGATCATTTTAATGTATTGTTGTGAAGAGGAGTTTAACATTTAACTGACTGAATTAAAATTAGAAAATCGAATTTAGTAGGTAAACAGGCATGCATAGCATAGCGAAGCTATTTATATTTATAACAATACATCAAAGCTCAGTTGATAAACTTTAACTTTTGTGCCCTTTCTCTTTGTTTTTCTTTAGTAAATACGGTAAAAACAGAGTCATTTAAACTTTCCACCAAAACTCCTGCTAACATCTTTTTTTGATTCATTCGTTTGCCATTTTATTGTACGTTAACAAATAGAGGGGCTAAACTGAGGACGTGTTAATCTCACATTTCCCTCCTGGTGCGACTGATACTATAGTTCTAAAAACAATAATTTTACAAGTTTTCTCAGTTTGTTTGTTTGTTTGTTTTTTAGTGGTGGTGGGGGAGGCCTGAGAAGGACTTCTGACACAAGCATTAATACAGGAACTCCCCTTTTGTCCTATAACATGACAATTCTACCTTGCCACAAACACACTGGGCCTAATGAAAGGTTATTTATCTGATTTAATTTTATAATGAAATGCTTCGTGTTAGCATGTATTTAAAATTATTGATTCACGGAGGTCTTCAGACTCACCTGTGGTATGACTGGTCCTTGGACGCCTTCGAGTTCTGTCGTAAATCTCCCGTGAGGTTTCTCTCTTGGTGTCTTGCTTAACCCTTGGTGAGATTTTAGGCATGGCTGATATATAATTGAGCAGTAGAATTTATAACATTTGGATGAAATAACATAATGCTGCAATAATTTAATTTTTGTAAACAGTCTGCAGTTTTCTTATTGGTTTCTCTACTGAATTTTAAGCCAGTGAATGCGACAACTTATTAAGTTGTAGCCACAACACAACTGTTCTTTTCTTTCAAGTGATTACATTAATTAACTAATTTATTTATTTATCTAAATGTATCTAAATTATTTATCTAAACGGCTGTAGATTACATTTCTTTGCATCGCCTAATCACCTTGTTTTCAGACGTAACCAGCTGCAGTTGAATAGGTTTTTATTTATTTTATTTTATTTTATTTTATTTTATTTGTTTGTTTGTTTGTTTGATTTTTTTTTGGGGGGGGGGTGTCGGGTCCCTTATTTAAACGGTATCACTATGCGTTGTCTGTGGGTAAGTGTTGATATTTTAAATGCAATTATTTCCTACAATTTTGAAGGCGAACTTTACGAGCTGCACGTGAAAGCAGCACGGCCGTTTAGGAAAGCAGCAGCGGGGCTTCGCAGCCAGTGTGGCAGCTGGGAATGTGAGGGTTTCAGCACAGGCTGCTATTTCAGGACTGGAAACAGTAGCAGGGCTGGCCGGGGAGGGACAGGCTCTGCCCACAACTTTACTCTAGCCAACACACTGGCTTAATCTCAAGTCCAAACGGAGGGGAGAAGCTGCTGTTTCCCGCCTGGGGTGTCCGTGTTCTCGGACCGCGGCAGATGGTCAGCGGACAGCCGTTGGTGGTGGCTCACTGCTGGGCTGAATGCTAGAGGGAACCAGCCGGTGCACCGCGCTTCTCCTTCTTTATCTCCCCCCGGTCGCTGATACGTCCCAGTGAAGTGTCACTCGTTGGTCCAGTACAACCTGAATGTTTCCCGGCGTGAGTAGCTCGGTTAAATGTGTATGTTTCGCCGCTAACCAAACCAAACACGGTAACATCATCAACAACAAAAACAGCAACGATGGAGTGAAATCTGCGGCGGAGGGGGCGAGCGACACACAACCTGCCGCGATTTCCTGCGCGTGAATAAATAAATGATAGAGGATACAATGACCCTGCTGTCTCTATTAGGTCGGATCATGCGTTATTTTCTGCTCAGACCGGAGACCTTGTTCTTGCTGTGCATCAGCCTGGCTCTGTGGAGTTACTTCTTCCACACGGACGAAGTGAAGACCATCGTCAAGTCCAGCCGAGATGCGGTCAAGATGGTCAAGGGGAAAGTGGCGGAGATGATGCAGAACGAGCGCTTCGGTGGGCTGGACGTCCTGGACGCGGAGTTCTCCAAGACCTGGGAGTTCAAGAGTAACAACGTGGCCGTGTACTCCATCCAAGGCCGGCGAGATCACATGGAGGACAGGTTCGAGGTGCTCACCGACATCGTCAACAAGAGTCACCCGTCAATCTTTGGGGTTTTTGATGGCCACGGAGGAGAGGTGAGTAGGGCACCCAGGGGGACATTAAAGTGATCTCCAGGGGGGGCTAAAGTGTGGGTTTGAAAGAGTTATGTCTGGTCCTTTTCTTAGACCTGCTTTTATTTCTTTATTAAAAGCACGAATAAGACTAAATAAAGTAGAGATCTTATTCTGTATTTCAACCGAAGCTGTCCTCGTTGTACTTTTAAATAAAGTATAAATATGAGGGATAAAAATCTACTTTCTATACACCTAAAATAACTTCTAACGGATAAAGCGATGTAGTCCACCCCATAAATCATTTATTACAGTGTATTAAGTTACATAGAGTTAATGTGTAGTGATGAAGGGGATATTTTCCTTCCTCAGTTTGAACCCTGTGTATTTTTTTTGTCTCTGTGGTAATTTAATCAAACACAAACTAATTCAGGATTATGCAATTCGGGGGAAGGAGAAACTGAACTAATGAATGTCTTGAATGTGTTAACACGGAGACTCTTTAAGACAGGGACTCGAGGTCGAGTAATTAGGCAGGATTCACTTTGACGTCCCGTGTCATTGATGGGTGCAAGTTATGACTTTAATTACACACACACACACACACACACACACACACACACACACACACACACACACACACACACACA